GAGTTTCTCTCTTATTAGAGCTCATCAGTAGTGCATATCCACCGTCCCTTCCGGTATTTGAATTTCGGACCCATCGCATAGGAGGCGTGTGCGTCACCACTGAGCCAATCAGCTCATACCATTGCTGAACCAAATTTCCAATTCATGTTTATTCAGGTGCTGTCTTCAGTGATAGTCAGTCAGTTCGTTTGGCCCAACAGCAACGACGGGAGACAGATGACAACCTGTTAACTCCATTCGAAAGCCTCCCACCAAGCCAGGACTTCTATGCAGGTTACGGGATGACTCACCACATACCTACCAGGCTTGATTGATCTTTATATTTGACTCAAAGTTACTTGTGAGTAGTGTGTGGGGGGTAATAATGATAATTGTTATTGCTAAACACAATCTTCATCAACGGCATGACCTTCATGCCACCATGCTTACGTGACTCGGCCTCTTCAACTAGGTGAGTGCCACATGAATAAAATAAAGCTCACAAAATTCGTCGAGTGACGTTAATTGTCAGCCTTTTTGTTTTTGATCAACAACAGAGAGATCTGTTAGAACTTCGCGTGTCTCGGATGCTGTTCCCCTTTCCTGCTCTTAAAGTGTAGCACATCGACCCCATAATTGCATAGTAACTTATTGAGTTAATTGCCAAACTTTTTTCGTTTACCCTCTTCAACCGTGAACACAACAACTTATAAGATCCCCAATTTTGATTTTCGGCTTTGTTCTTTCCGAGGCTGCAGTATTTTCAGTACCTTCCTAGACATGTATTGAATTTACCACAAATGTGGCTGTAATATACATTTTGTAATTCTGAATTGCGTTTGGATCCAACCCCTTTTAGATTCCAGTTAGTATTCCGTTTATTTTTGTTTCAGCAGTACAGCATTACCGATAAGGGCGTAAAGCATCTGAAACGAAGAGCATATGTAGGCACACATATGCACACGCATTCAACTGTTCAGTTTTCTCACCTACACTGGTTTTACTATGGTGTAAAGTCTTGCGAAAACTTGGCTGGCATTGGCTGGCAAATGCTCAGGTGCTGGCGCGGATCGGACGCATTAGACAAATTCATAAGCCATGCTGTTGGTTGTTGTACTCCGCCGTCTCCTCCTTGGGATATTTGCCTCCCTATTCCGGGAAGATTTTGGTGCAGTTGATTGACCGCAACCATAGGGATAGGTCCCAAGCCTCCTGAAGTGGCTTGAGCAGTCTTGAAAAATATTCCTTGACAAGCATCGCTTAAGCAACATAACATCATTCTCAACAAAATGAAAATGGCCATGACTGCACTAAATCCAAGTCCTGATGTGGCTACTGCTCCACAGTCGTTCAGTTTAGACGCTGAGGCAGCAATGGTGCAGAAAACGCAGAATGCAGCCGCAGAGTATAGCAGTATGAGGAAAATGGCTGAGATGAATTGTGGCACATCGTATAACCGTTGCTGGAACCCATGGCTTAGGAATCCTCCTGCTGGTCCGTCATTTGCTGTAATGGAAGTGTAAGCAGTTGTGTTTGGTAATGGTCCGGGTTCACTGGCCATAGCTGGTAAGTTCGCGCCACCCTGTGCAGGTCCCGTGCTGGATGCTGGATTTGCTTTAGCTGCATATCTCAATGATGGCTGTTGCCGAATAGCTAATGGCTCTCTCCAAATCCACAGTCGAATCCACTCGATAACGGCAATTACGATTGCTATTATATCACTGACGATCAGTGTTGCGCTTACTGCTGTACATTTTTTCTCACCCTTTAGCACTGCTACTCCGGCCGTCACTAAGGCGCAACAAATCAGTAGGGCAATGAGGAAACTTGTCCAGCAACAGAAGCAACGAGTTGCCTTGTACTCTTTTGTTCCTGGATATCCTTGCTTAGGTTTTACCTGTTCATTTTTTGTTGTGGGATATCCATAAGGTCCAAGATCACCCGGTGGAGGTAACGCAGGCAATTTATCTGGCGCTTCGCCGGCATTGCTCATGTTTTTCAGACGACGAAAGGCATTCATGCTTGTAGCTCGTCCGTGCTGCCCCTGTTGAATCATTCTCGGGGCACTGCTGCTGGACTGATTCGGTATAAAGTAACTGTCGTCATTTTGTGATAAGTGAGATGAGGTTTGGTCCTGTGGTGTTACTGCCATCCGTGTAATGTCGTTCTGATTCTTTGGTGCGAAAGTATTCGGGGCTGACTCCACTTTGTTATTAGGAACCTGTGATGGTTCTGACAAAGATTCAAGGGCTGTTGCACCTTCTCCTTGTACGTCAGTCACAGTCGGCCTATTCCAATTGCGTTGTTTTTCTGATGCATTCGCCCTCTGTATCCAGCTAGCGGTTATATTCTGTTCAAGTATATTTTGTTCCTCGATAAGGACAAATTGTTCCGTGTTGTTTAAATACGTTCCGGTTCCGTATTTTTGCTTGTAATTTTCGAGTCGGCTCATACGGTTAATTTACCGGTAAACTATTCCGGTGATAGACGCACACACATTTGGTCTTTATTTTGTGAGGAATTTCGAGACTCCGCACAGGGTCAACAAACCCGAGCCCGTTTATTCAAGTCGATTGTGTTTTGAACTGTGGAGCTCATCGATCGACTCAGTCATCTGACCGCATTAAGAGTGCAGTTTACCGCTATGAAAACGTGATGAAAAACGGTTATGTAGCTTTTCTTATCTTTACCTTCCTTTTCATAATATTTTTACACCGAATAACTGCCCCTTTATCATTATGGTTAATGGTTGTACAAACTGATCTGAGTTCAATTAACTTTTTATATAAGAGTTTTCTCTCAGGTATTTATATTCTGTTTGTCACTTATTGTCTTAGTGTGGTGAAACAAAGCGGAGTGGAATATTCTCAAATTTTTTAAATGTGATTTTTTGTCTAGAGCCTTTTGATTATTGAGGTCGAGATTTTGAAGTTACCTACCAGATGAAAATGATTAGTTTGCATACTAATTTTTCCGCATCAAGTAATTCTTTCTAAGCCTGTACGTAATCCTCTTCGTATAGATAGTTATGAGATAAGTTGAGGTAATAGTCAGTGAATAAATCACCATGTAACGTACTGTTTTTCTTATAATGTGTGAAATTGGTGTATTCAAATTATATTTTCTTATTTTACAGCGCAAAAACTGCAAACATTCCTGTTGTAAATATTACCACCCCCCGGCTCACCAAATAGAAGCCATACTCAAGCGTGGCGACGAACAGAAAAAGCTGCTGGAAGGTCAACAGAAACTACTGGAATCTAAGGTTTGTTCTATGTGGAAGAGAAATAAATATTTTTCAACTCCACTACTGTTCTCGATCGTTAAAATGCGAAGCCAAATCACATAAGTTGTCTAAACGATAAATGCACTTCGATTTCTTTCCCCGGAGTCTTTCATTCTGATAAACTAATTCGGTAGATGTGGAAGATTCATTCTTTCACCGTTTGCCTTTTGAATGAATACTTCTGTAACTCAGCTTGCGAATCCAATAATAGTGACGGAACATGTTAGTAAAACTGTCGAGGTATTTTGCATACCTCATCTTCCTACTGAATTAATTGTTAGTAATAAAACTAAGAACATTTAAACGGGACCTGGCTTCGTCATTTGTGGCCAGCTAGCTAGGTGATGCGTGAGAAAGTCACATCATGTCTCTGTTCCGTTTCACGGATTTATTTGATACACGGTTTACTGCAACTTTTATTGCTAAGTATTTGTTCAGAAAAAGGTCGCGTTCATTGCCTGGTGAGATAAAACCAGTGAATACGATTTCTTACCTTTAAATAACTAGTCGGAAATGCGGAGTGCATGGTGAATCGTCCGGATAGATGTAGGACTAGAAAGCGACGAAAGTGGGTTTTCCTATTGATATAAAAGTTTGGCGCTTATGTTCTTCAAGGAAGCAGCGTCCATCCGCATTTTCATGGATATAACGTTGAAGTTGGGGCACGGATGTGGGACTGCGACCTCTGACCTATGAACTGGCTAGCTGGTGATAGATACTACCAACGCCCACCAAGGCCAAAAAGATCATCTTTTGGTTTAAGAAGAGTCTCACCATCTAGTATTTGATTTTCATAGATGAACACCTCTTGTATTGTATTGTATTGTGTATAACTTTTGCAAGCACTAGAGCTCACATTTCAGTTGCAAAAGCATACACGCTAACTGTCACAATGTACATAATCAACGGGGAGAAAAGTTTTTACAGGCATGGGAACATTTCGTAATCCACGGTTAAGGCAAAGTTCACTCATTGTTCACTCTTTGTTTGTGAGTAGACGAGCAAGATACGATATGGGTGAATTGCGGTATGCATTAAGACGAGATGAA